CTCCTTTGGAGCTTCCTTTTCTATGAAGTCAGTATATATTTTCCTTGCTTTTGAGGACAGCTTTTGGGGTGACTTTGTTTTTTTGAAGTCTTCACAGGCCAGCCAGAATTCAATATTTTCTTCACAAAATTCAGATTTTAGAAAAGCCCTGAATGCAGCAAGACCATCTGAAAGAAGAAGGGGGAAATACGGCATGCAGATATGAGTTTTTCCTAGTGCTTCCCTCATTGTAATTATTTCGTGATGATAGTAAAGATGCCAGCTTAAGTTGGCACACTGCTAAGTAAGCATGAAAACATAACTGCTTTCAATGCAAAATAAATATTTATAGGGGAACCATAAATTCTCTGGGAACCAAGTGTTTGGAAAACATTGCAATGGAAAAACTGACTTAATCTTAACTAACAACTGCCACTTCAATTTTTTAGGCTAATTTTTATTCCCCACCTGGAGGGAATAATATAGGCATTTCCACAGTGAAAACTGGAAAATAAGGAAGAGGAAAAATAGGTCTTATGTCCCAGTGACAGCAAGTTAGTCTACGTCTCCTCAGGCTAGCCACTTTTCTGCTGGGTAGATAAAGCCTTAGCAAACTGTTGAACCACATGAAAGAGATCAAATTCAACAGTTTAACTTACATTTACTGGCTAGCAGCTCATCAAATGCTTCTGACCACAGCTGAGCTTCCTCAGGAGATGGCCTACAAGAGAAATTTTGTATAATTAGCTTATGCATGCAAGCATCCCATTTTCAATCAGGCAGCTAACAACTCGTATTTACAATTAGTGGATTTTCAACTTACTTGATAAAAGTTTGCTGTTTGCTTTTCTTGCCCGGTTTAGGCTTCCCGGGAGTGGAGGAATTTTGTAAGAAGTAGCTCAGACGGGCCTTCCAATCTTTTAAGCTTAAGGAAAAAAAGGAATAATTATATTGACTAAGTCGTAATGCATGAGAATGATGCTACTGCTATCAATGTGTTTGTTTTTGCCAAAGAAAGACCTCCAGTAGGTACGGACAAATCAAACACACTCAAGCAGAAACACTCCAAGTGAGACAATTCTTTGACTTTTAATGTAATGCATTCAACACAGAGTTAATTTCATCCATCTAAAATCACTAAGGCATTTAAATAAATCAAGTTTGTGTTGTAGGATGAGTACAACGCAGGGCACTTCACACTGGCGAAACGGCCACTAGGCTGATCCCTCACGTCCCCGCTGTTGTAGGAGCCCGAGGCTCTGGATCACGACCCCCGGGGGCTGAACACGGAGGCGTGAGGGGCTGAGCACCCAGCCCTGCGCCTCCCAGCTACAATACTCATTTTGAGCAAATGCTGCACAATCATCTATTCCACCACAGCGCGAGTGGGGGAAAATCCTCTTCGACTAAAACCAGTAAAGCCAACTCCATCTCACCAGCTGTGCAAACGGATTAGCACTCCCATCACACACCGGAATGCAGGATTCCGTGAGGTCACGTTAAACGCAGAGGAAGCAGAAGTCAACATGCAGCTCCCTAGTTCATCCACCTTTGTCTCTGGCCCCAGCTCAAGAACTGCATCCTCAGTTCCTAAATTCTACCGCATCGGCCTCTAACGTCCCTTCCTCACCCCACCCTTTCAAGAAGCCTTCAGGTTTCATCTGAATTTAGCAAATTAGCTGTTTCTCCATTTTTTCCCCTCTTGCAGAGGCGTAAGTTTCCTATTGTCCAAGCCGAGATCTAATCTACCGAGTGTGCAACACCGAGCGAGCTAGTTCCCAGGAGGGTGAGCGATCGTACTCACAGGGTCCGTTTCATCTTCTCCCGCTTCTCTTCGCTCTTGGAGCAGCCACTGCCTGCGTTCTTGTCCATCGGTCCGCAGTATTCGTGGACAGCCAGGAACATGGTACTTTGCATGACAACCTTCTCGCTCAGCCGCTGTTTGCGGGCGGGCGCGCGCCGCAGCCTTTATAAGAGGCACAGACGCAAGGGCTGGGCCTCCAGGTGCTGGGTTCGCCTTCGGCTGGCGGGGATTGGCTGGGCACAGGGCGGGGGCGGAGCCAGAAACAGCGCCGCAGTCACGGCTCCGCCGGGGGGGCGGCGGCTCGCGGACGCTGCTGACGTCAGCAGCTCGGGTCTTCGTGCCGCGGGCGGCACGACGCGGCTGCGGGTGTGGGAGCAGGCAGAGTCCCCTGTTTGTGAGCGGCCGCAGGCGAGCCCAGCGGGTTCCGCACTGGGATCCCGCCCCCGGCGAGCGCAGGGAGCGGGACTGGCTCCGGGCGCCGCCGCTTGTCCGCCCACCCCCACCCTCACGTGCCCTGGGTCCCCCAGGCCGCTAGTCCTCCCCGCACCCGCCTCGTCGTCCCCGGAGCACCCCGAAGAGATGAGGACTCCCCAGAGGGCAAAGTGATTTGCTGCAATCGCCTTGTTTCCTATGAGCGGGGCTTCCCCTCCGCTCCCCGCAGTCCCCCTGGACCACTGTCCCCTCCGCGCGGAGAGCCCTCCCTCGGCCGCTCCGCTGAGTCTGGGGGCTGCAGCCTGCACGCCTGGATTCTGGGCTTCTCGAAATACTAATGGGAATGAACATTTGGTTTGTAGGAAACAAAGGAAAGTGACTATCAAATGACAGTAATTTGTTAATTGGGTCTGAATCCCGACCTTCACTCCTTGACTCGAGGTTTGATCTGCAAGGTTAATCCGCAGGCAACCCTAGCTGTTTTTCCCTGAACAGAAATAAACCGATCTTGTGTGTGTGTGTGTGTGTGTGTGTGTGTGTGAAAACACCAATATTTGGCAGATGAAATGCATCAGGATACAAGAATCATACCACTTTAAGAGTGCAGGGATACACGATTTCTTTGTGAGTCATTTTTCCTTGGCTTAAAATATATCAAACACTTTAAGTGGCCAAAAATAAGGGGGGGGTGTTCACGTTTGCTTAAATAAGCTTATTTATTAATTCTTCAAAAAGCATCTGTCATCTCTGGCAGGCTTTATAGTGACTTGACTGGTAATGACAAACAGATGGCTTCAGCTACAAAAATAATTTGATTTAAGAAAACTGCATTGCCAGAAAGTAGCATAAGTTCCAAGTGGTTTTCCCATCAAACATCTAATTAGCGAGATTGCAGCAAGATAGATCAGGTTGTAAATATTCTCCTCAACTTAAACTTTTCAGAGATTTCCAGGGAAATGAAATCATCTCAATATAGTTACCAAAGCGAATATGTATTATATCCATGTATGCTGCTAGTTGTTTAAGCACAGACTACCATACTTTTAAAAAAAGTATTTCATTTTCTTTTTTTTCTTAAGTCCTTTACATCCTAATAGTTTATGAAAAATGGAAGAAATTGTTTCCCCCCTGAAAATAACTGCTTGCTAAATCTGTATGCAAATATGGTTTATCATTTTGAATCTATGAATAATTTCGAGGTCTGATGCAATAGCAACTAAACAGAAAAGTTCTTGTGAAAGCTTTCATTTTTAATGACTTTTCTAATAGCAAACAGGTGGTTTACTGCTATATGTAAAGGGAGAGCTACAGCATTGATTCACTTCCCTGTGTGTGTGTGGTGTGTGTGAGAGAGAGAGAGAGAACTAGCCGTTAGGTAAATGGGGTTGCTCAGTATGAAGATGACACATATTTTCCATTCTGTTGTGGAGTGGAAATAATGCAATAGACTATAAAAATTGCACAGCAAAACCACAGTTTGACGGTGGTGGATTAGCCATACATTTTCTGTGTTTAGTCTACCATGCCCTCTACTGGAGAGGTTTATTGCTTGAACGTGGTACTGGTGAAGGTTCTCAGGGTGACTCTTCTGTTTTTGTAACATGTAAACACATTTAAGTTATACAAGGTCAAAAACAGAAAGTAACAGTTTCCAACACGTTTAAAAGCATAATAGGAAAAGCAGAACTCTCCCTTACCATACTTCCCTCTTACTCTAGCCCTCAGATAGTGATTGCTGTTGTTGTGTGCTATCAAGTGATTCCATAGAACAGAGAAGAGCCCTGATAGTATAGTGGTTAGAGAAAGAGCTCAGTGGCTAACTGAAAGGTTGGCAGTTCGCATCCACTAGTAGCTCTGTGGGAGAAAGTTATGGCATTCTGTTTCCTTAAATGTTTATCGTAAACTCTAGACAGGATGGCACTGGATTTGGTGTTTGTTTAAAGGACAGAGGAGAACTAACTACCGTATGGAGTTCCCCAGGTTTTGGTTTTTATGGGAATAGATTTCTAGGCCTTTTTCCCTTACAAAGTGGCTGGTGGATGAAAATCATTAACTTTTCAGTTAGCAGATGAGTACTTAACCATTGTATCCGTAGAGTCCTTATGTTAACCATTAACCATTTTTAACAAAGTAGTATGCACAATAACTCTCCTTTTCATGTTTTTGAAAGTTGGGAACCAACATGTATGATTTTAAAACAAAAACAAGAGCCTCATTCTGCGTATTATTAGTCTGAGCTTTGCTTTTCTCTGTTTGCGAGATACCTTAGTTCTTGAATTTGTAAAGGCTGTACCCCTACTGCTCACCTCATGGATCTTATGTCTGTGGTTAGCCTAAAATAAAGAAGAAACAAGGAAATTAAACCCTGTATGGCAAATGGTATGATGAGTAATTGGAAAACAATGAAAACAGTACCTAATTGTGGACCGTATTTGAGGAAATGCAACATCGCCTTTCTTTCTTCTTCTTTTTCTTTTTGGTCTAATTTATTTTTCATGTGAAAGTTTTACCAACTCATACATGAACATTTAATCACACAAGATTCTGTGTATCATCCCTAATATTTAACATGAGCCAAGCTTGAAAAATCATAATTAATGTCTTCCTTAGACTGTAATTTGTACACCCAGAAACTGTTGAAAGAAAAAGTTCATGCTTTTTTCGGGAATTAAATAAAATTTAAGCATAATACTTGACATGTCTTATAAACCTGAACCTATTGCCATTGAACCAACTCAACTTCATAGTGACATGCATAATTGAGCATTTCCTAATTGTATTAATCTGTTATTGGTCATTCCATTTAGAGCAAGTCTATGGTTTTGTCTTAAATTCATCCATCGTGCAGAGTATGTTATCCTTTTTCAAGGCAGGTGGGTCTGATTTAAAGTTTATAGTACTTTCTTAGTAAATAGGATTCTCTTTGGAATTGAAGATTTTCATTACGAAGTTTTATATTTTGTTTTCTGAATAAAAGTGTATTAATATATTTAAACAGAGTGTCTGTATTAAAAGAACCAGTCAACATTCAATCCGCTCAAGAAGTAGCATAGGATCAAGAACCCAAGCTGCATTGACAGCATTAGCCTAAAGCAAGGCTTCAGGAATTGATAGAAGATCAATGTAAATGTTTCAACAAGTTGATGAAACACTGGAACCCTAGCTTATGTATGCCAAGAAATTTGGGAGAGATCAACCAGAAGAGATCCATATTTTTCCCAATTCTAAAGGAAGATGACCACCGCCCCCCACTGCCCAGAATGTAGAAATTATCAAACAATATCATTAATATCACATGCCAGTAAAATTTTACGGAAGATCATCAAACAATGGTTGCAGCATTACATTGGCTGGGAGCTGCCAGAAATCCAGGCCAGATTCAGAATCAGACTTGGAACAATTGCTTACATAAGATGGATCTTGACTGAGAGCAGAGACTACCAGAAAAATGTTTACTTGTGTTTTATGTACTATGCAAAGGCATTTGACTGTGTGGATCATAGCAAACCATGGTGAGTCTTGAGAAGAATGGGGATTCCAGAATATCTCATTGGTATTCTTATGGAACCAGTACGTGGACCAAGAGGCAGTTGTTCCAACAGAGAAGGTCACACTGCATGGTTGACAATCAGGAAAGGTGTGCATCAGGCTGGTATCATCCTATCGTAATTATGCAATCTGTGTATTGAACAAATAATCAGAGAAGCTAGACTATATGAAATGAACTTGGAATCAGGGTCGGAGGAAGTCTTATTAGTACCTTTCAATATGCAGGGGACACAACCTTGCTTGAAGCTATGAGGACTTGAAGCATTTGCTGATGAAGATCAAGGACTGCAGCTTTCAAAATGGATTACACTTCACAACTAGACCAATAGGTGACATCGTGATAAATGGAGAAAAGATTGAAACTGCGAAGGATTGCATTTTGCTTGGATGCATAATCAATTGTCATGGAAGCAGTAGCCAAAATTCAAACGTCATATTGCATTAGGTAAATAGCTGCACGAGACCTCTTTACAGTACTGAAGTACAAGGATGTCACCTAAAGAAATAAGGTGGGTCTGATTTAAGACATGGCATTTTCAATGGTCTCATATGCACGTGGAAGCTGAACATTAAATAAGGAAGACCAAAGAAGAGAGAATGAACTTGAATTATGGTACCAGAGAAGAATATTTAAATTACCATGGACTACCAAAAGAAACAAATCTGTCTTGGTGGAAGTACAAGAATGCTCCTTAGAAGCAACTTCACTTCATGATGGGATGCTAAACAGTAATTGTAGGGAACCTGAGGGTAGAACAAACCTGCTTCTATGTTCCTGTACACACTCCGAATATGTTTCTACCCAACCCTCAGTAAACCATGCCATAGATTAAGCACTATGATGACCTTAGATGCTGGCCTTACAAGGAACCTGGCATCCCCCAAGGAACACACCTGAAGGACTCGACATAGAAGTCCAACTGAATCAACTGGGCCCTAACTCAAAACTACCTGCAGCCTTTGGAGTTAGGCCTGAAACTCCCTGTGATGGGAAAGGAAGCAAAGCATGGTCACCCCAAGACTGTGGAAATGGTGGTCATTAGACCTTCAGTGGATGCCCCTGGCTGGTCACTTTTCTGTAAAAATGGACTTCACAGGATCCCAGGGAAGAGAGGGTATTAAAAATGATGTTATATAGG